TAGGCTTGTCTTTTAGAAAAATCACCACATCTATATTTAGGACCTACGGGTTATAAAACATTAGCTCCTCTTGAATTAGATTATAGTGATGTTTGGGGAGCTTTCTCCATGTTGTCCTCTGATGGTTTTTAATATTTTGTTATATTTGTTGAAGCGCATGAGAAGTATATATAGTTGTTTCTATTAGTTGCAAAATTTAATGTTTTCATAATTTTTTATCAATTTCAAACTCTAGTTGAGAATCAGTTTTGTGTTAAAATTAAATCTGTTCAAATAGATTGGGGTAGTGAGTATTGAAAATTAAATACATTTTTCAAATCTATTGGCATTCACCATCTTTTGATCTGCCCACATACTTATGAACAGAATGACATGGTTGAACGTAGACACCGCTATATTGTTAAAATTAGCTTTATGCTTCTGGTCAATGTAAAGCCCCTCTAAAATTCTAGTATTCTATATTTGAAACTTCTGTTTATTTAATAAATCATATGCCAACTCTTGTTCTTAATTACAAGTCACCTTTTGAATGTCTTTTCTGATCGAATCTTGACTATAATTTTCTTTGTATTTTTAGGTGTCTCTGTTTTCCCTTTCTCCATCCTTATAATGTCCATAAACTCAATTTTTGTTCCTCTTTATGTGTCTTTCTTGGTTACAACACCTCCCATGTAGGTTATTGTTGTCTCGATTTATCTTCCCATCGTGTTTATATGGCTTGTCATATTCAATTCCATGAACACAATTTACCTCTAACAATTTTTGAATAGAATAACTCTCCCTCACTATTAAACACCATCACATGTCTACCTCCACTATTCCCCACACTCCCTTAGCCTTCTTCATTTTTATCATCATTTCCTGCCTCTGTTTCCTCTACCCCACTCACATCCTCTGCACCAACTCTTATTTTAACTCCTATTATGAGCACTAATCCGCCCTTTTTATCTTCACATGCATCTCTTTTTGTTGATCAGTGTCCAAGGACAGATGTGGTTCTAGCATCTCATCCTGCTTCCCCTAAATCATTAGTGTTGCAAGAGCCTCCTCCTGTGTTAGCTTCCCCACTATTGAACATTTCCTCTCAGCCTGGTTCAGACTTAGCTGATTCCCTAACAAGTCTCCATATTGTTTCTCCTCCTGTATTGAATTTAGTCATCGATCTATTGCATTTTGATCTTCAACATGTCTCGAACAGTGGTGTTTCAGCATCTCCTCTTTTAGCCCCTCGCTAGGAAAGCCAAGACAACTACTATCAGTGTCACCTCTGCTTTGGGGCCTTCTTTTTTCCCTACCCATAAACCATCTATATTCTAGGAGGCACAACATTCATTGCCCTGGAAACAAGTTATACAAGAGGAAATCAAAGCTTTACATGATAATGGTACATGGACCCTAGTCCTGTACCATTCCTCCATGAACTTGGTTGGTAGTCGATGGGTTTATAAAATCAAATATCGTGTCAATGGTAGTGTTGAGAGATATAAAGCCCGGTTGGTGGCCCGGGGGTTTACTCAGGAAGGGGATATTAACTATTCCAATGACATTTAGTCCTGTAATCAAGCTTATAACTGTTTGACTAGTACTCATAATTGCTATCTCGAATGGGTGGTCACTCCATCAATTGGATGTTTACAATGTTTTCCTAAATGACATCCTTTAGAAAGAGGTATACATGGATCAACCCCCTGGTTTTATTCATTCTGATTTTCCTACTCACGTGTGTCATCTTCATAAATCTTTATATAGTCTTAAGCAACCTCAGGCTTAGTATAAATGATTAAGTGACTTTTTACTCTCTATTGGTTTCCAGGCCTCTAAGGTTGACATTTCTCTGTTCATCCTTTCTTACAGTGGTGCTTTATTTTATTTACTTATGTATGTTGATGATATTCTGTAGACTGAAAGCAATTATGAGTTACTCCATAAATTGATTACTTCACTGAGCAGAGAATTCTACTGAGTCAACAGAAATATGCCACTAATATCATTAGACAAGTAGGTATGTCATCCTGTAAACTGGTTGACACTCCTTCATCCCCTTCTTCTGTATTGACCACCCTATCAGGTGCCTCATACTCTGATTTCACCAAGTATAGATAGATTGTCAATGCTTTACAGTATCTTACCTTTACCAAATCTAATATTTGTTATATTATCAATAAGGTATGTCAGTTTATACACACTCCCACTAAGGACCACTAGGAGGTTGTTAAACGTATTTTACGATATCTTCAGGCTACAACATCTTATGGTTTATATGTTGCTCGAGGATCTCCCCTATCCTTATATGGCTTTACTGATGCAAGTTAGGTTGGTAGTGTTGATGACCGGAAATCTAGTGGTGGTTATTTGGTATATCTTGGGAATACTCATATCTCTTAGAAATCTAGAAAATAACATATTGTTGCCAGATCCTCCACAAAAGCCAAATACAAGGCCTTAACTGATGACACCACTGAAATCTTATAGCTTCATTTGTTACTATCAGAACTCTAGCTTTCCTCCTCACCTATGACTACTTTATGGTGCAATAATTTAAGGGCAATGTTTATGTCAGTAAATTCTATCTTTCATGTTCATACTAAACATGTTGGGGTTAACCATTTTGTTCGTGATCGAGTTGCCAAGAAAAGGGTTAAAGTCTGGTTCATCTCCTCGAAGAATCAATTAGCCGATGTCCTTGCCAAACCACTATTGTCTATATTGTTTATGTATTTTCAATCCAAGCTTTGAGTGGAATCTCTCTTTTCAACATGAGGGGCCATATTACAGAGAACTTATTATATACATAATGTAATTATTCTATATAGTACTTTCTACCATTACTATTATACACAACCTTAAACACACACACACACACACACACACACATATATATATATATATACGTGTGTGTGTGTGTATTTTGTGGTTTTCCTCGTCTTAATTGGATTTTTTTTTTAAAAAAAGTCTAATTTCATTAATGGAGAGTAGCCAAGCAGGATAGCCTATTATTTCATGCACCTTAAAAAGCATGAAGCATGACACAAAAACACCATACCCCAAAACAAAGTGTGCCTAATTACACTATATCAAAGTAATTTAATGTACTCAATCTCGCTTGAAGAACCCTAAATTGTTTTTTCTTCAACTAAAGTTAGTGAAAGAGATGAACGCTAGATTGATCAATTAATGTAAACAAGTGATTAATTGATCAACTATGTTATTCATGGACCGAAGACATTGCCAAAATATATGGCAACACTTATCTAGAAACAAAAAGAATCTAGTCATGTCCTCTGGTTCCTCATTTTAATTGACTACCCATTAATTGCTTTGCAATGAAAAGCATCCATTCCAACTATATATATATATATATATTGTTTCAATATATTGATAACTCTTTACACTAATTTTTTGTTCTATGTGATTAGTCACTGCCCCTTCTGTTAATTTTGTGAGAAAATATTCATTAGACTACAATTAATATGAGTTCAATCATGGCATCAAAATCTTGGTTTTTCTAGAGTCAAGCTTGCATTGCAAGATGGGCAACAATGAGGGTTATTTATAAATAATTATATAGCTTAATTTATTCTATGCGTGGAGGTCCTTCCACTAGAGGTCCTATAGTCCATTCTCTCCACTAGTGAAGATTAATATTTAATTAAGTAAACTCTCCTTTTCACTAGTGTTTGCTAGAACAAGCTTTCCAACCCAAACCTCATTTATTATAATTCACTCATCTAATCCATAAATTTGTTGCCTTGCATGGATCCAAAATTAATTAAAGTTTCTTTTAATCCCACCTAAAACTCTCTCATAATTTAGAGAAAAAGGAAGATGGGAAAATGCCCTAGATGGGTGACATTAGTCCTTTAAGCAAAGCAAGCACACGTTTGTATTGGCTTTTGCAATTCTAACTGTACCGAAAAAGCCTATTTCCTTGACCAAAAAGCCTTCAATTATGGAACATGTACAGAGTCATTCGCACTCAAAAAGTTCAGTCAAAGATTCATTTCTTTGCAGCAACACACGCATGAATCCCTAGCTATATGAGATCAACAGCACACTCTTTGCTATGCTTTACAGCTTTTCTTTGGGAGTTCTTGTCTTTAGATTGCAAAAAAACCATGATACGAATAGAAAACGCATGAATGATCGGAAAAGAAAATGCACCCTCTTTTTCCAATCAAAATCATCGCTTGCTATTTGATAGTTCTCTTCCAGTGCTCATTTATTGTAAAATATTGGAAAGTTTCTGATCTCGTACGTAAGGAAATTTTTTAGTTAAGCTATACACTTGCCAATAATCTATATTTCTTTTCTTAGCTAGGAAATTGAACCTTTAAAACATAAAAGGAACAAATGGGCAGAAGGCAATGGCATTTTAATTCAGTTGGCCTCGATATCAAACAAATGGAAATGAAACCTTTAAAGGGAATTCCTCCATTTCATGGCACCCATTCAATAAATTAATTTCATCAAATTATTTTTTAATATATTCTATTTGATTAGATTTCTAAGATTTAGAGATCGAAAATAACTTATTTCATTAATTTTGATAATATTTTTTGAAAGAAAAGGTAAACGTCTAAATCCAAAAAAGAATTGAAATCGTCACAATTAAACCTCCAAAGACAAATTGAGTTTAATTAGTTAACCCTTTTTTTTAATAATCCAAGACTTATTAAATTTAATAAAAAAGAACCCTAAAATCTTGCCTTACCTATAAGCAAAACGTGTCTAATCTCATAATATTTATTCATGCCAGTAATGCATGCAGGCTGAATATTCTCCACTACGTAGTCTCCAATTAGAGAAAGTTTCCTATCAATTTCCGTATACCCAAAGAATCTTATTCTTAGTGATATATAGTTGATGAAATATATGTTTTTATGCGTCATGGATAATAATTTCCCACTAATTTAATCCTTCTTCCCTTCAAAACCCTAAAGCCAATAGGTGATTGAATACATGCCTAGTCCATTAGTACCCATTAATCCAAACTCGTAAAAATTTAATTATTACTGAAAGATGTCACACTCACTCTTTTAGGAGCATGATTTATCTAAGTAACCACTCGTCTTTAAGAAACAATTTAATGCTCAACCCAATTTAACCAATATCATTATCTTGCCCATATATATCCAGCCAATAGAAGGCTGAGAATTAGTAGCTTAATTGCTCGAGTAATATATCTTATAATGCTACAGAAGAATGCACATAATTATCACCTCCTTCATTAACTTTTGGTTAGTGGCTTGAATGTTACCCCCATTAGTAGAAAGCTTCTTTTAAGGTGTAATTGGACAATTTTTACTATTGCATGAACGAGAGTGACATAAACAATTAAATAGTAATAACTAGATAATGATTTTTAGAATCAAACTTTATTTATACAGAAATAACCTTATAAGATATTTTAATAATATTAAATTATGATGTAATAAGAAATTTGAAGTAATTTATTTATTTTTATTATAATAGATTAATTTTTTATTTTATTTTTTTAAATATATTCTTTTTTTTTCTTTTTGTCACATCACTATATTTTATTTTGATTATTAACTTTATGATCTTTCCAATATATCATCGATGGTTATATAAAAAATAATTATATAATGAAAAGTAAATCAATTTAATTTATAATGATAAATAGAAATACAACCAACCTTTTATTTTATAATCTATGATTTATTTTTTTTGGAATTAATCAGCATGGCCAGCATTGACTTGGAAGTAACTATATGAGACAACTTTTATGAGAAGAAAACTTGGACGCAGATGTTATAATTTATTTTTGATCGTCGTAACGCCACGCACGCTACACGTATGACACTAGATATGATCTGAAATATAATTTATTGAAAAGTGTTTGTTGGATAATTGATTGATTGCCAATTTGCCATATTTGACTCCTTGAGCAGGCAAATATTACTGTAATTAATCTTAGTGATGTACCAACGTGGATTAGTGACAGAGTGAGGTGATATTGCACCTGTTGGTGGAGGTGAAAAGACAATGTGACAGACTGAATCTCGTCTGATCAAAACCCCCACTCATTTTATAAGCTCAAAGGACTTGAAAGTGACTCTAACATGGCAAATAAATTAATGCTTCAGTCTTTTCAGAATTAATGGGCAAATAATGAACACCTACCCTTTGAAAAAAAAATACATAAATCAATAAAATGTCTGTGTATGTACGAATGAATCATGATTTTATTTTCTTAAATAGCGATTGAAAAAGAAGTTACGTAAATTCTTAAAATAAATTGGTAAAGACGAAGAAATGGAAATAATTAAGGACGAGAAAGCAAAGGAAATTTGCAAAGGAAACTTAAAGAGAAATCTCTCATAGAAGTTTATGAATGAGAACAAATAGAAAATGTCTACAGTTGTTGTTGAAAATATATTAAAATAATATTTTTTATTTTTAAAATTATTACATCAAAATAATTTAAAAAAATTAATTTAAATTAAAAAATTATTTTTTAAACACAAAAACATACAGTCAACTTAAAATTTAACCCCAATTGGATTTTTAATGAAATGAAATATAATATAGATTGGTGAAACGTGATTAACTCGATAAATCTTTTAATAATCTAATTAACGGATTTAATTGTTTTAATAAAAGAAAAAAGTTTATGATCACCCGTAATTTAAATCGATGATCAAATAACCACAGCCATACATCCTTACGAGGTCTGATAACTATGTCCATGAGTGGCCATTCTATCTCTCCTTTGGAGAGATATATGTAAGCGGGCTGCCCAGCTGTGTAACAAGCCCATTTCAGCACCAGATGAGGTACCCAGTTGCGAAGAAAGCCTATACAGCACCAGATCAGAGCCCAGTTTAGAACCAAGCCCATTTTGTACCAGATCATAGCCCAGGTGTGGACAAAGCCCATTGTGTACCAGATCAGAAGCGATATTAATATTATTTGAAGAGATATTAATATAAAGTGGAGCTACAGTTTATTTACAGGTAAATTCTTATGTGAGGTACAAAAGTGGTGGAATTAATGGGTGTTCCACCGATGATTGCACAATGCTTGCTCTGATAAAGATCAGGAGGTCATTTTGAGAGATATATCGAGCCATTCATGTATATTAGATGCACAATTTAACTGGTTCAAAATCTCCAACGTCTTACAAAAATAGGTTTAAGTGCTGCTTGACTAAAGACAGCATGTTTAGATTTATTTTTTATTTTTCGTGGGTTTAGACAACTCAGCTCAATATTCTGTCAATAACTTTGAATGAAATATAATTTAAAATATTATAGAAAAAAATAATTTTTTAACCTTTTTTTTCTAAAAAAATAAGACTCGATAGTTATAAATAACTTATAAATCCATCAAGTTTTGAGTTTATAATTTATTTATTTTTAATATATATATTTTTAGAGTTTAATTTTTTAAAATATCATTACACTTTTTTATGTATAAAAATTTTTACTTTAAGTTTAAGTATCATGTATAAGTTACCAGACAATTTAACTAAAAAAAATAAAAAAAATTATTAGAAATAAAAGATTATAATTAATTCTTAAACGCATAAGCCTTACTCATTTATTAAGTCATCATACTTCTTTATTTTTTTTGTATTAAATATTTACATGTATCAATCAAGGCAAAATGCATTACTTTTTCTTAGATGGCTGCAGGCCCTCTCATTTGTGTATCTATATTGTTTAAAGAATTCAGCTCTGTACAAGGACAGGAAAGCTTATGGATTTCAGTTTCTTGGATTATTGTTTGGCATCCACATATGTACTCCAATATGCCTGTTAAGTGCCCTGAAACTCGGAATATCCTATCGAGGGGGAATGTCAAAGAAAATTGATTCTGATGGAAGCAAATCTATTGGATTCATAACTGGCAAAACTTCTTCTTCTTTTTTTTCTTACATCGATCACAATCAACAAAATTAAACAGTGTTGACAGCTAATTTTAACGGGCACCAGCTGGGTGTATATAAAGGGAAATCATCTGCATTTGTTAGCTAGTCGCTATTACTCAAGGCACCAATGTCAGCTCTTCGTTTTTGCAACATGAATGGTTCCAAGAAATTGTCCAAGATAGAAAGGAAGTGTCGGTGTCGAAAGCTATTCGAAACATGGGTGGCTGCTGCTGCTGCTACAGAAAATCAAAGAAATCTCATGACTTCGCAAAGGAGTTAGCTTCCATTGGTCTAGAAATTCTCATTTGTCTCTCATTGTCTGGAAATTATTAGTCCGAACTTCTGTGTTCTTATACATTGACGCCCATTTTCATCCTGGACCTTCAAGGTGCAGCTAAATAGATTAATGGGCTCAAATGTTGAGGTTACCCGTCACTGCTAAATCTGCAAATAGACTGGCACTTTCTTGTTCTCAACCTCACGAAGTTAGTGAAAAATTTCGATAGTGATTTTGATTTATGCTTCAATGTTTTATACCATATTATATTAAATAATCATTTTAATTTAAAAACTTTCAGTTATTAATTCAAATTTCGACAGTGGTTTTATATTATGCAACTTTGTGATCAACTTGGCCTGCAAGAAACGAACTTTTGAACTGATATTCCATGGAGCAACATCGTGGATGAAGTGATCTACCGTCAAGGATTTCTGCTTTTCTGGTTCAGATATCCTTAGATATCCGCCAAGGTAGCAATATCAGGGGTGGACAAATATACGTTCAGTCCAACGCCGGTGTTCTTCGCGATCGTGAGGTTACCGTGGCCATATAACGGACTCAAATCATGCAGAATGAAAGGAATAAAAATCAGTATAAAAAAAATTAAAAAAATTCATGCCAACACCACTAATTTTAAATAAAAAAACATTTTCAACCGTAATTGCTATTAGAATCCCAAATAAACACTAAATCTTTCACTACAATCGTTTTTTTCCCTGATTAAGTATCTCATTACGTATACCGTTCAATCCAATTTTTTCGACATTTCCTTTTCGTAAAAGATGTCTCATTCGACATTAAAGTTGTGGACTGAATTAAGAACTCGTAACAATCCAAACTCGATTAGTCAATACAACTGATAGATAATTCATGTCTTAGTAACCACGAAATTGCCATGATATATAACATATGTCGTTCAATTATTAAAAAAAAAAAAAACAGAGGGTCGTTCAATTATTAAAAATAAATAAATAATAATCCAGGCTCTCAAAACCATGATTTTAAAAACACAGCACACTTAAGATCTTGGAGATTTTGGTAAAGCTGAAACACAAAACTAAGTACTCTTTGACTGTAATTATTGTTTCCCGATAAGCATCTCATTACGTGTACGGTTGCATCCAATTTTTTCGACATTTCCTTTTCGTAAAGATGTCTCAGTCGACACTGGCAAAGCTGTGGGCGAAATTAAGAACTCGTCACAACCCAAATTCGATCAGTCAATACAACTGATAGATACATGTCCTAGCAACCACGAAATTGCCTGTTATATCATTGAAATTAGAGCCAGTTTTGTACCCACATATGTTTTTTTGTGGATATGAGTATACTGTTTGATTTTGTATTTTAAAATGTTTTTTTGTTTTTTTGTTTTAAATTAATCATTTTTTCATGATTTTAGATTATTTTGATAAAGTGGTATCAAAAATAAAATGTTAAAAATAAAAATATATAAATTATTTTAATATATTTTAAAATAAAAAAATAAGTTAAAAAACAATAGTGAGACAATACCAATCAAGCTCTAAAATTGATGAAGAAGCTCCTTTGTCTTTAAACTTCAAGCCAAACATGATCTCGAGCAGGGGAGAGGTGCGTAGATTAATGGATTTATTGGCATCATCCTTGCAAATGAAAAGAAGATAAACATTATTTATTCTAATTATATTATTGTCGCTTAACACGCGGTTTCACAGTGTCAACCCTCACTGATGTGCTAATTTCAACAAAATAATTTTTAAATTCATCTTCCTAGCACGATTTTATTTTTTGAAATTTCTTTGGCTTTGTAGGATCTCACATATGCTACGTATCTAGGGATATCCTAAGGATAAATT